CCCAAACACCAAGGGGCTCCTCTGCCTCCCTGCCCTTAGACCAACCCCACTCCCCCAATTTCCTTTCGCCCGCCCTCCCCAACAGTCACTTCAACCTCCAGGGGACCTGGTCTCCTCCCTGTCAAAGACTTAGAGAAAGCGTTTGATTCAGTAAGTTGGCAAGTGATGTTTGAGATACTGAAAAGGATAAATATAGGGCCAAATTTTCTAAAATGGATGAATGAAATATATAAGGACCAAAGTGCTCAAATTAGGATAAACAGAGACAAGACTAAGAAATATCCATATCCAAAGAGGCATGAGACAGGAATGGCCCCTCTTGCCATTATAATTCCTCTTAATCATTGAAATATTGATTAAAAACATAAAAGGAAACAATAGTGTAAAAGGGACAAGGATCAAAAATTATATAGGATCAAAAAGCTTTTGCTGATGATTTGGTAATCATATTTGAAAATTCAAATGAAAATGAAAGTGTTAAGAGTCTAATACAAGCTTTAAATGAATTTGGGGTAGTGACAGGGTGTAGAATAAATAAGAATAAGCTGAGTATTTTGATTAAAACATGCCTAAGACAGAAGAGGTAGAGTTGCAGTTAAAAATGGGAATGAAAATAGAAAAAAAGGTTACCTACCTATGAATCAAAATTACAAAGAAAACAACAAAATTATCATTTATAAGTATATAAAATAATTATAAAAAGGTATGGAGTGATATCAGAAATGATTTAATTAGGTGGAATAGGATTCAATTGTCAATTATGGGAAGAATATTGGTAATTAAGATGTCAATGCTCCCAAGAATATTATTTTTAATCCAAATGCTGCCAATTATCTGCTCAGAAAGTATATTTAAGGCAGGGGTAGGCAACCTTTTTGAGCCGGGGGCCGGGTTGCTGTCTCTCAGACAATTGGGGGGCCGAAGCACCATAAATATATAAATAAATAAATAAATATTAAAATTAAAAATTTAATTTTTTTTAAAAAAATTAAAAAATGCATGCACACTCTCTCAGCCCCAAAAAAGTCATGGCAAACTCCCTGTTGAGAGTTTGCCAAGAAAACCCCAAGAACAAGTAATAATAAATATGATCATGGTGGGTGGCGGTGGCGGCGGCGGCAGCAGAACCAACTTGGGGCCAGTCAAAAGGCCTCGGGGGGCTGCATCCGGCCCCCGGGCCTTAGGCTGCCTACCCCTGATTTAAGGAGTGGCACAAAGATATTTCATGGTTTATCTGGACTGGGAAGAAACCCAGAATAAGGTTGAAAATATTACAGGATGAAGTGGGTTAAAACTCCCTAATATGAAATTATATTTTGAGGCAGCATGCCTAACATGGTTAAAAGAATGGGTGATGCTTAAAGAAAACAGATCATTGGAATTGGAAGGGGAAGGGTTAAGTTATGGCTGGCATGCCTACATAGCCAATGATAAGGATAAACAAAATAAACTATTTTACAATTACTATTTGAGAAGATCACTGATCAGAATAAAATGAGAAGTGTTGAAAAGATACTGAAATCGATTTCATCTTAAGAGGCCTTTTATAGGAGAGAAATGGAGATGTTAGAGAAATGGTGTAAATATCAAGACATGATTAAGACACAGGATGAAGAAAGAAAGATGAGGACCCAAGAAGAATTACAACAGAGGGGATTTCATAGTAACTAGTTTGCATACAGACAGCTTTGCAAGAGATATAGGATGGATGGGAGAAATAAAAGATTTGAGGAAGAGGAGAAGAATCAGAGTTGGGGGAGTTAATAAAATTATACGGTTCCCCTGGCTTCAACGCTGCTGCCGCTGCCACCTTATTTGCTGGAGGAAGCCTCGGGGGGCCAGCGTGGCATTGTGCAGCCTTTCTTCTCCTTCCTCCATGAAGCTGTGGCCTGGTGGCAGCAGCCAAAGTCAGATAAGGAAGGGGCTGGAGCAGGGGGCATCCTCTAGGACATGTCCTCCATTGCAGTCTTCTCTCTAGGTCCAGGAAGGAGGGATGGCAACCTGTCCTCCATTTGGAGCATGGCTTTGTGGTTGTGGTGTGCCTTCAAGTCCTTCCTGATTTAGGGCCACCCTCTGCTGGGGTTTTCTTGGTAAGATTGGTTCGGGGGAAGGTTGCCATGGCCTTTCCCTGAGGCTGAGAGAGTGTGACTGGCCCAAGGTCATTCAGTGGGTTTCCATAGCCAAGCAAGGATTCAAACCCT